ATGATAGGGAGTGAAGTAGTTGGGCATGTCGATCGCTTAACTTATCTTGGAAGTCTCATCAGCCCTTGTGGTCTGGTGTAAGACGAAATCTCAGCACGGATACAGAAGGCTCGACTAACTTTTGCCAACTTGTGTCATTTATGGCGTAGGCGAGATATCCGTCTATCAACCAAAGGACGTGTTTACTGCGCAGCAATTCGTTCCTTCCTACTTTATGGCAGTGAAACATGGCCGGTAAGAGTAGAGGATATTCGTAGGTTACTAGTATTCGATCATAGGTGTCTTCGAAACATTGCTCGTACATCATGGGACCATCGAGTAAGTAACGCAGTTGTTAAGAAACGGGTACTAGGTAAGGATGGCAAATCAATTGATGACGTAGTGAAACTTCATCAGTTGGGATGGCTGGGACATGTGTTATGTATGCCGTACCACCGACTGCCTCGACGTGCGATATTTTATGGTGTAGGAGTGGGTTGGAAGAAAACTACGGGCGGCCAGACCAAAACATGGCACAAGTTCATGAAGTCACTGACAAGTGGACTGAGCCATGTCGGTAGGTGTATACTACCTGGTTGGGGACCGCGAGATGATAGCAACCGATGGTTAGAGACCCTGAATGACATGGCTCAAAATCGTTTGCAATGGCGCAGGTGCATACACTCTTTGTCTTCTCCCAAATTCTAATCTTCTGAATTCTTCATGTCCTTTTTTTCTCTTTCCAAATTTATTTCACTGTATTATACTCCTTGAATAACATCTTCAAACCCTAATCCTTCCGATTACTGCTTATACTCTTACTATCTCTATCACTATGGGATTCGAATCGACCACTGCATCTCTATGGTAATGTGGTATGGCAACTCGAACTTATGTACGTATGTACGTACGAAGTTCTACGTTGTTACTGACTGACTGACCAAATGACTGATCCGAACAATGAAAAGAAATACGTATCTACCACAATCTTTTGGCTAATTACAATGAACCATTTAATAGTTGTTTTTTACTCTAGAAATATCATGCTCAGAATACATTTAGTATAAATTATATTGCTTTAATCTACTACTGGCACATATATTGAATATCAAACATTATTTATACAAATATTCGTCAAGATTAGAACGAATAGTTTGACAGAAATTGGTCCCTGAGTATAAAAAAAAGTCATTCTATATGAAAATTATATTTGAAATAATCTCAGTTATTGGAATTTAAAATAATTCAAACGTTTCGTCCAACAAACTTATTTGAACTTCTTCAGGATAATAATCGAAATCAAAATCATCAAAGGAATCTGTAGCCAATAAAACTTTATTTCTTCATGAATAGAAGTAACATTATAACAATTAACTTAACTTGACCTTATTCTAAGCATTACACATGTTATATAATAAAATAAAGAAATACAGATTACATAGCCTTGTCAGTCATTGTTCTAATAAATGACATTATAAACGACAGATAACATTTATTTATGACATTAGTACTAGTAAAAAATGTCCTTAAATAAAATGTATTACAATGTAAGGATGATAAGTGAACAATAATCATTATGAATTTACTTTGTATTGTTTACTTATATCTTCCCATTGTAGTTTAGGACTTCAATTGATCAATCTCTTGTGGGCATGTATACATATTGTATTATTTACAAAGATGAATAGTGATTAGTAGTGGAATCCATAATCATTATGAATCTAGTATTGATAAAATGTCATATTTTCACCTTTCTTAGTTGAAAGATATTTCATCTATGTTCATATATATGATAATCGTATGATACAATAATATATACACCTTCTATTAAGATTGATCTTAGTAACAATGTATATATCATGCTTGAAATGGTTGAAACAAGTTAAAATATAAAGGTTAGATAGTTATTCCTTGGTCAATTCATTAGCGTAATTTTCTTAAGTATTTACTAAATAGTTATTTTGATAGTGTTTTTAAGTTATCTTTTCGATCCATAAATTGATTCTATATATTCTACTACTCACAAATTAATTCATTGAAAATTAAATCTGTTATTCAGCTTTGTATCCGAGTTACTTATTGAAATTTGTTGTCTTCAGTATAATGTAATCTTGTATTTTCCCTATATGATATATACATGAGTTATTGGTCTAAATAGTAATCTTACATTTAGCCTTCTGGTATCTTGAATGGAGTCTAATAAAAGTGAGAATTAATAAGGTTGTTGTGACGTAAGGAAAAAGAATTTTTACTGAAAATTTGATCTTGAGTTTCATGTAGTTATAAAGGTGACCATATGTGCTACTCTTAACAACCATTCGGTGAAGAATTCTTATCATGTATAAATTTGAATCAAACAACATATAAAAGCGAGCGATGTTGTTTTCGATTAGATCCTCATCAGGCTTTACTCTAATATACAGTAATATATCCATATACTAAATTATTATTTTTTTTCACCCCCTCCCACCCTTTTCTTTTTTCTCAAATTTATGTTTCACCTTCCACTTATCTGAATACTGCTTATTACGTAATCTTATAATTCTTATGAATTACGGTGTTTATATTTTTATAATCATTGACCTATTTCCCATTATGAAATATTGATTCAAGCCTTTATTATTTCATACACATAGTTCCCTTTATCATTTTGAAAAGAACAAGGACAAACATTCTAGCAGAATAGCATGAATTCATTTTTATTTCGTTGGTTCTCGTCAGCTGCTTACAACCTGTGATATTTGAAACTCATAATTACATAATGCGTTTAAATTACTTAGATGAAAGAGTTTGATTGGAAGTTTTATTGAAGACATTCGTATAGTATAGCAAGGGTGTAAATAAATTTTGTAGACTGAATATTGTAAATATATACCTTATGTGATGAAAGAACATTGTGACAACAGTTCAAACAGCTAGAAACAAGTAAACGTTGATAGGAATAAAATGAGTAGAGTTCAGTTGATAAAATAAGATTATTAATTTGGAAGATAGTTGAAATAAAACTCAATTATGTGATAAGTGCAAGAAAGAGTTCAAAGAAAAAGGAAAAAATATTAGGATACAGCGAAGGAATATTAGTCACCAAGGCAAAGAAAGATTAATAACCATCTCCTTTTGAATACTTAAATCAGCTTTTCGGAGTCTGATAGTAACTAGTACACTTATCATTACATTACCAATCTATACTTTTTATTTACCTTTATTTATGTAACCCTATTCCACTGTTATAACACAATCATAAACTGCCTTAATTTGTTTAATTATTTCGTTTATGCATATAAATATTACTGAATATTAGAGTAAAGCCTGATAAGGATCTAATCGAATGGGGATAGTTGGAAGAAAGTTAGGTATGACCAAACCAAAACGTGGCATCAGTCCTTGAGGTCACCAACTTTTAATCTGAGCCATGTTGGTTGATGCAAAATACTTGGTTGGGGTTCACGTGGCTATCGTAACCAATGGTTGGAGACTCTATGTGACATGGTTGAGAATCGATCACAATGAATAGGTGTATACACTCTCTGTCTTCTACCTTTCTTTCTACCGATTAATTCTTTCTTCCTATACGATGTCCTTATATGCAATCTTTTTTTTATATATTACCATCATTGAATTGACTACTTGTACTAATTTGTTGTTCATGTTTTTGTGCTCATGAGGTGTGGCAATTTGGACTGATGCATATATGTACCTGATCCTACGTTGTAGCTGACTGACTGATATGGTCATTTGTAAATATCGAAATGGAAATGTGAATTTGATTCTAGAAAAAATTCCATATCAAGAAACGTAAATTAACGTACATTATTCGATTTCTATTTTTACTTTAGATTTCGAACTATAATTTCATTTATTAATTACATAGAATTATTTCCACTGAGTGTTAAACTCGAAAATTGCTATGATTGTCAAATTCTTTCACTCTTAAACAGTAAAACTCTATACTTATTTAGCTTTTCAAATTTTGTTCATAAATTATAGTTTTGACATTCAAAGCGGCGGCTGATAATAATTTTGTAATTCATGTTACCTCAATGAACTTTCCTATTATCTGATTGATTACTTCTGCTAATTTTATACTATCGCCAGATTATAGTCGTAGCTACTGTACGGGCTGGTACCATGTCATACCCATATAGGTTATTCTACTTTCTGGACAGATCAAATTATTAATTATTCTTGATTCACAATTTGACCTTGTTAATTAATCGCTTATCAACTTTGACGGTTTTTATGAAAGTGTATATATGTGCACTTCTTATTATGTTCATCACATGTCTGTAACTTATTTTTGGTCTGACTATAAATATTAATTCACGCTTGATTAAATCGAGTCGGTCACTCGTTTGTTCCATACGATTTCTGACGTTTCGTTTTTTTCTTCCTTTTTCACTTCGTTTCTTTGCTCGTATGTGTGGATAAACGATTGCATGAAATATACATATTCGAAATCCATTCTCGTATTTGACTTATTTCATTCCGTTATTCCTTAACACGAATTAAATCGATGATTATATATGACGGTAGCTGGGATGTGTATTTCGATAGTAATCAACATATGATCAAATTGGAGTTAGATAACTGAAGTCTACCAAAATATACAAGCTAAGTTGTTCTATTAAATTTTCGAATTCCTGGAATATCAAGCTTTTCTTGAGTTCCTGGCTTCTTTCTTTTTAATCTCATGAGGGATTATTCTTGGAGTATTTTGCAATAGTCATCCAATCTACTTAATTTGCACAGAACTTACTTCTTAGTTGAAAAACATTTAAGTATTTCATCGTTCCTAATTATCTCGCAAGGTGGGATCGTGGTTGCGCACTGTTGAGGAGTTCCACAATCGAACGAAACGGCCGTCTAGTGCTCTCAAGTTTTCCATTGTGGTTTAGTTTCAATTAACTCATGATCTCAACTATTAAAATTATCGTAAGCTATGTTGATATATATAGTGTTTATAACATAGATTATACAATAATATTGTTGTATTTAACATTCTATATTGTTTAAATTAATAGTTGAAAGCAACTGATAAAGATGTCAATTCTACAATTACATATTCAATGGAAAATGGTGTTGATATCAATACAACATTAAAATTTTTTATTAAATCAAATGGATATGTGATTGTTCAACAGAAATTAGATTATGAACAACGCAATGTATACAGTTTTACAGTACGTGCTAGTGATGGTGAATTTTTTGCATTAGCTCGAATTGTTATAACAATTTTGGATGTGAATGATGAACCGCCTGAATATGTATTAAATCCACAACAATTAACAATTTTGGAAAATAAACCAGCTCAGACATTTATTGGTCATGTAAGTATATTTGCATAAAATTACAATCATGAAATGTACTCATGTTTATTTTGTGTATAAATGTAAATTACATTTATATCAAACAAATGACATTGAAGATCAACAGGCTTTAGATATCTGGTTTGTTATGGATCAGGATAAATTCACTCATTAGAAATCATTATCCTTAATGAGATATTTACATTTCACAGCGATCAAAATACAATAGCTTTTATCGATTGAAAACATTAACTAATCATCATCATCATCATCATCATCATCATCATCATCATCATCATCATCATCATCATCATCATCATCATCATCATCATCATCATCATCATCATCATCATCATCATCATCATCATCATCATCATCATCATCATCATCATCATCATCATCATCATCATCATCATCATCATCATCATCATCATCATCATCATCATCATCATCATCATCATCATCATCATCATCATCATCATCATCATCATCATCATCATCATCAATGAACTTTACATATCACACCTTATATAATCACTAGTAATACTCATTGTTTACTAAATAGCAACTTGGGGGTAATATTTAAGACTTTTCTTCAGTATCAATATGATTCAATCTAGTTATTACTCGTAACTTCACCGAATGTAAATAATACATTCTATTTATTATATTATTGCTTAACAATAAAGTTATTTACCAAGTAGGTAAAGAACTTACAACAAAACATATAGACCGTTAAAGAAAAAGCGGAAAATTTCATATAATTCCTTTAGTTAAAATATAGTGACTGTCGTCTAAGTTTAATATGCTTAACGATTGTTTCAGAGTTTTTAGTCGTTTATGTTTAACACATAATATACAACTTCTCTTTATTTGCTGGTGGAAAGCCTATGCTCCTCCATGGGGAGTAACAAGCGTAAGTAAGTAAGTAAGTAAGTAAGTAGGTAAGTGACTAAGTTCTCCTTATTTCCAAGGGATATTTTTAATTTTTATGTGATTATAATTATAGCTCAAATTTTCAATTATCATATCATACTACTATATATTATGTACATCTATAATTAATGTTTATTTCTACTTTTATAATACTCAACATATAAAATCAAAACAAAATAATAATTACTTCATCAAAATGAAAGCAAATTGTTGAAAATCTTATTTACTGTGAGAGGTTTGCGATGATTAGTTAACATTAATCAAGGGATAATCCTAGTTAAACATTCATCTTAGCATGAGACTCCACAGTAATATAAATTGATAGCATTACTGGGGATCCTACCTAGGACTTTTAAGTCTCGGTTGAACTCTGAACCCCTAAGCTAGCATTCAATTGTTTAAATTTCTGATTTCAATGAATTTACTATATGGCGCAATTATGTTTAGGTATCACGTAATTGCTTAATAGCTAACATAACTGAACTCTGCTGGTCACGGTTTGGTTTTCATTCCCAATGGTATTTTGGATGGATGCTGCTGAGAAGTTTCAGACAAAAGCAAATCAGCTTGTCAGAACTTCTTGGTTTCTAACGAATATTCAGTGAAGATTAGTCTGTGATGTAATCGATAAAAGTTTGGTAGTCGAAACATACTCGTATTAAAGTAGTAAACGATTTGAATAACTTTCTCATTTCAAGTTCACAATAATGTACTTTTGTGTTTTTAATGAATAAACTGTTTGCTGATGGTTCAATTTGCAATTTACTGATAAGACGACTATACATTAAAAATATTCCGATGAGTAAATCATAAAAATAATCAAGTATTCGGTAAAATGGGTGAGGAAACAAATTAACTTGATACTTGACTAATGAATTACGCCTGTTACACTTCGTGGAGGAGTATAGGCCAAACACCATCATTCTCCATCCACCTCTGGCGTGAACAATCCTTTCCAGTTCTTTCCAGTTACTATTCATCCTTTTCATGTCTGCTTCCAATTCTCGACACAGTGTGTTCTTTGACCTTCCTCTTTTCCGTTTCCCTTCAGGATTCCAAGTTAATGCTTGCCTGGTGATGTAGTCTGGTGATTTCCATAATGTACGTCCTATTCACTTCCCACGTCTTTTCCAAATTTTCCCTTCATCTAGAGGTTTGTTTGTTCCCTTCCACATTAGATTGTTGTTGATGGTATCCGACCAACGGACATTGAGTATCTTGCGTAGACAACTGTTTATAAATACTTGTACTTTGTTGATGTTGGTTATGATAGTTATCGAAGTTTCAGTTCCGTACAATAGAAATGTCTCGACGTTCGTATTGAAGATTCTGACTTTGATGTTGGCTGGTAGTTGTTTTGAATTCCATATGTTCTTCAACTGTAGGAATGCAACCCTTGCTTTGCCAGTCTTTGCCTTTACATCTGCACATGATCTTCCTTGTTTACCGATCATGCAACCAATGTATGTAAAACTATCCACTTCCAGAGTTTCTCAATCAAGTGTTCTCTGTTTTGTATTTAGGGATCTTGTATATGTTGAGGCCTAGTGCTGCAGAAGTTTCTGCTACATTGGTTGTCTTCACTTGCACTTGTTGGTGAAGACTGGGATATAAGAGCTGGGTGATCTGTGAAGTCCGTATCGTCTAGTTGCATCCAAGCTAACCATTATATTTCGTGCTTCCCCGTGAGATTTGTAGGTCTTTATAATTCAGTCAACCTCTAGTGATCCAGTGCTCCTCTTCACTCACTTGTTTGTTTTTTTGCATTCGGTCTGTACAGCGGCTTTATTTTCTCTTGTAGAACTGTTTTTAATCGCGGTTTTCTTGTCCCCCCTTTTCGTCTCTTGTCCAGGATTTCGGTAGAGGTTCTTTCCTTATGATGATGCTTCTTGAGTCCTAGCACCTCCTTGATCATTGAAGTTAGTGTTTTTGATCCCTTTTCATTTTTTATGGTAGTTTCCCCTTTGTTGAGTAGTTCTTGTAAAACCTGAAGCCTGTTGTTGAGACCTATCTTGAATTTGTTGAGTTTGCCAGTATTAGATTGATATTTTGGTCTTAATTTCTTGGTTTCTAAGTGATCCACATAAATCATATTGATGAATTATTGACTTTTTGAATCAACTTTAATCATATTTATTTTGTGTATATCTTCTGCATTATAAACAAAGATGGATGACGGATAGCAGTGAAATCAAGGATGTGCGTTTCGTCCTATTTCGGCCATTGGCTATGAGAACTCAGTATCTAGGTGGGTAACGTGAGAGGGTTTGGGGCGAAAGGTACTAGGTTGGAGTCCCGGAGTAAACATCAACGCTGAAATGAAAGTACATCCCGCTAACTAGCTGTAAATAAGACAAAACGCACGTCCTGGATTCCACTGCCAGTTACCATCCGTCTCTACTCAAAAATTGTTGTGATTTAATTACAGTATCGAGGTAATCCATCATGTATATAACAAATAGGTTGGTTACAAAATTCTCTCAAACAGATTAATTGAAATGTTTAACAAAGAACTTAGAAATGTCTGAATTCAGTACTTAATATGAAAATATTGAAGGTCGATTTTAATTTCTTAGTTTAGACCTTGTGAAAGAAAACAAATGAAATTGGAATAATAATAATAATGATCCGAAATACTCTTCTGCACTCGGCAAATTATTTAAAAAATAAATTTTATTGTGAATTATCTAAAGGGTCCTTTTTTATTTCTTAAAGCCTAATGAGTAAGATGATAAAGCAAATGAACGATCTGAAGTTAACAATTTTGAGAAGATATTGATGTTTCTTTAACTGGACATAAGTGTATAGATTGGATTGAATGAAAATAAGTGGCTAAAGACACATTATGATAACAATCTAAGTGTCAACTTTCTTACTCAGAATACTTTCAACTGTACCAGTTAATTTATATAATACTGTAGGAATATAAATGAAAGGACAACAATGAGTTGATCATTCGGTCAACTCCATTAAAATGAATTTATCCGACATTCACTAACCAATAACAGACACTTCAATTAAAGTTTTTTTAACTACTGAACAATTGGTAAACACACAGGCTAATAATAAGTAACAAATACTTCGAAACTAGTTAACTAGAGAACCAATTCAACGATGTCAACAACTCTACAGTCAGTATTATTATATCAAAATGCATGGACCAATATTTTTCTATTTAATAATTGAATTCATGAGTCAATTGAAGCTAGACAACCATGGGAAACGTGGAAGCATTGGACAACTGTTACGCCCTAGCATGGGACTCCTCAGCAATGTAACCCACGATCCCGTCTCGTGAGATTCCGACCCAAGACCTATCAGTCTCGCGCGCAAGCATTTAACTACTAAACCACTGAGCTGGCCGGCATCCAACGATGTTAATGTCTAACTTCAACTAATCCACCAAATCGAGTGACACATCCACTATTGTCTTCAGTGAGTTACTATCTTACAACAGACAATGTCGAACTACACTGGTCACTGCTTTTCATTAGAACTGCATGAAAAATCCTCTTGAAGTCAGTCACTAGTGAGCACATGATGGTTATTATCAGAAAGGGAGTTTTTGAAGATTGTAGTAATTTAATCGTTGAATTCATGAGTTGATTGAATCTAGACCACCATGAAAAGGAGCCATTTGCATAGAAATCTTTAATCTTCCAATTGTTTTTAAGAGTAATTATAAAATACTTACAAGCTGTCTAGACTAAAATTTATTACTAACCATTTATCCGAATAAAGTATCCTCTAGAAAAACATTATTCAGTTTTTTTATTACATAATTGACTAAAAAGAATAATTTAATAGTCAGCTAATAAAACTGGAACGTTACATAGAATAATGAAAAAAACTCATGTACTTCAAATAACTTCAATAAGCTAAGCATTATCGATGCAAATGAAGCATATCATAAGGCTAACATTATGACAATTGAACAAATAATGGCAGTAACATTAATAGTAATAATAATACTAATAATGTTATATCTAGAACTTATATCGTTTTTGCTATACCGCATACAACTTGAGCATTCAAATGCTTGAACCTTTCAGGTCCCAAGTTAGAAGACAGAAAACTAGTAGGAAGGAATCTTATTCTTAATAATATTAAATATAGTGAAAAACACTCAGGTAGTAATAGTTTTCAATAAAAACGAAATCATCATTACAGTCATCCAATCCGCTTGCATTGGTTTTTAAACATTTGTCCAATCGGGAAGCTACACTTCAAGATTCTAGAATATTCTTCCAAAAACGATTGAATGGAATATCTTCGGCTTCTTTTGAGCATCTTAGAGTTTCCTTGAATTCACCGGATATCATCCCTACAAACTATGAAATATAAAAATAAAATCGCACTGAAATTATATTACATTGTATTAGGTAGTTCAAACAGGATAAAGTGTTTCTCATGAAATTCGAAGTTCATAAGCTTTACTCACGGTGAAGTCGTAGATGCTCATTGTTGTGAAGTCCTATACTAGAAAGGAATATCTATCCACTGCGTCCTTGGTTTTTAAAAGGTGTCTATTATAAATCGATTCGTGATATTAATAATGTTAAGATATAGATTGTAATTTCTTTTACTATTTGTGTAAGTTACAGTGAATAATGTAATCAAAACTTTATACAAAGAAAGTTTAATAATTACAGCAACCAGTTGTTGAGTATGTATTGAAGAATAACCGTACGTTAGTTAATAACTTTAAATTCGGTTCGCTTCTTTATGATTTTTTTCCTGTGAATATCAATATGGTTGAATGTTACTATTTGCAGGTTACTTTGAATGAACCAGTTCACTTCTCATGTCTACTATGTGATACACGATCGACCAACTACTGTTTGAACTTCTATATCCACTAATGTGTTAAATAAATGATACATCTTTTAAGAAAATACTGACATCTATTTATGGGAATGTCGAAATGGCTTACTGATCAACTTCAATCTTACACAATCAAAATATCATTTTCTTTTCTCCTTTAATTTCATAATTTGTCAGGCTTTTTGCTATGATTCTAGTGATGAAAAACGTTAATTATCTTCGCCGAAACCTCATAGAAACTGAGATGTTATTAATATTAGTGTATAAATACAGCCATTGGTAAATTTTTCGTTTAGTAACAGACCATTGATTTAATATATTAAAGCACGTGAATTGATTATCAGTCAAAATTCTATAATATCTGCACAACACCTTCTGATACTAATCAACATATGCTCAATAGTGACTGGCTTCAAGAGGATTTTTCATGCAGTTCTAATGAAAAGCAGTGACCAGTGTAGTTCAACATTGTCTGTTGTGAGATAGTAACTCACTGAAGACAATAGTGGATGTGTCGCTCAATTTGGTGGATTAGTTGAAGTTAGACATTAACATCGTTGGATGCCGGCCGGCTCAGTGGTCTAAAGGTTTAGCGTTCATTCACGAGACCGACAGGTCCTGGGTTTGAATCTCATGAGACAGGAATCCCATGCTAGGACGAAACAGTTGTCCAATGCTTCCACGTTTCCCATGGTTGTCTAGTTTCAACTGACTCATGATCTAAACTACTGAATTACCATAATATCCACAAAACCCCTTCTGAATAGTCTTATAGTTTTGTTAATAGAATATAAATAGGCAAATATATTTGTTATTTCGACTAGATCTATAAGAGGGTATTCTTAAACAAACCATCTGTTTCAGTGAGAGCATATACATTGAAACTATTGTCTTCACTTTGAAATTGCTTCTTTGTATACATTTAAATGATCAAGTTGAATGTCATTGACAAAGACTGAAATATGAAAAAAAACTATCTGTATTTTGTATACTTAAGTAATACATCTTCACAAAACACCATTCAATATTAACTATGAATATTTTATAGTCTAGCGCATAGAGACTATGAATAACATCTAGGTAGGTAATTAATTAATTATTCATTTAAGTCTTATTCAAATTTAAACAGATTGGGAAATTTCACTGTTTTTACTTGGCACCATGATTTTTCTTTTCTCTAGGAAATATACTTAATCAATGGCATAAATTACTGAGATTTATATTTCTGTACTAAATATAATATTTTATCCATAGTATTAGTTTTTTAGTATTCATCCTATCAATATTGTAATTGAATAGTTGAATTTATGAATCAATTAAAGGTTGACCACCATGGAAAATTTGCAGCACTGGATGACTATTTCGTCCACAAGCACCCTTTCTGACAATATTGTCATGTATATATAGCTAATTATATTTGCACTCAGATATTGATGTTTATACAGCTATGTGAAAACTTATTATGGTACTAGATTATTGAATAATAATAGATACCATTATATTCATCATCAATCCTAAGGATTTCTATATCCAACTGACGAGGTTCAAATAAAATGAAGAAAGTGTTCTAGATTCTATTACTAGTCATTGTTTAAAATGTAATCAACGCATAAGAAAAAATAAACTCAATCTATTCATTTAAAAGATTGATAAACTGAGAGAGACGTAGTAAATCTGTTCTGAGCAAATACTAACCCCTTTTAAGTAATAATACTTGGATGGGTAAAATGAACTGAAGTAGGAAAAAAACAAATAGAGACAAACACCTATTTTTATTCAAAACAATTGACTCTATTAGATTAACGGATATCTGTTGCATGACATGAAGTAATAATGAGGTTAGACGCAGGGTATAAGGGAATGATGGTAAGTCAGTTAGTGAGGTTGTAAATATTCATCGACTGAGATGGTTGGGCCACGTGTTACGTAGGCCTGAATACCGATTACCATCACGCACAATGATGACCAGTGTTGGAGACGGTTGTAAGAAAGTTAGGGGCGGCCAAACCAAAACGTGGCATCAGTCCTTGAAGTCACTAACTTCTATTCTGAGCCATGTTGGTAGATGCAGACTACTTGGTTGGTGTCCGCGTGACTATTCTAACCAATGGTTGGAGACTCTGTGTGACATGGCTCAGAATCGATCACAATCTTTGAACGTAGCGAAACATTTCGATAATATTCTTTGATTTCATCGCCATTCACTTCCGACAGAAATTAACCAAGTATATCACTCTGATACATATACATATACATATATTACTTCTGTTTTCAAGAAGAAAAACACACTTGACAGTTTTCTTCACTTTCTTTAAAAACATTAGTCGTCATGAATAAATAAGAAATAAATGACAAAAGACAAAATATTATTATCTAATGCTTGTATTATCATTCTCGATGTAAATATGACAATGAAATCGATGTACGCTAAGCATTACATTTTAAGTGTTTTTTCTTAAAACTATCTTTCTATGTTTTATTAGCGCTAACAGTGATATATAAGTAAAGATGGATAGTGGCTAGCTGTGGAATCCAGAATGCGCATTTCGTCCTATTTGGAACTCGTCAGTTGAATGTACCTGCATCTCAGAGTTGACGTTCACTCCGAGACTCGAACTCAGTACCATTCGTTTCAAACGCTATCCACTTAGCTACTGAGTCCTGATGGCCATCTGCTTGTGTAATAGGGTGGTTTAAATTCATCCTTGTACCTGGATTTTACTGCTAGCCACTATCTATCTTTGCTTATAAAGCTTGTGACTTAAGGCAATATCGAGGAAATCCTCACAGGATGCACATATGCCAACAAGAGACTGATCGATTGCAGTCCTAAACAACAATCGGAAGATTTAAGCGAACAACATCAAGTGAAGTAACAGTGATATATATATATATATTGTTTGAGGAAGCTTTTAACGGCTACCGTTACCCTCGTTTATTGAAAACAGTTCGACCTAATCAACGTACACTTTATCGTTAAGCATGTAGTAATCCCATTCAACTACTGTATTATTTATCTGCTCACTGTAATTTAGACACTTGATCCACCATGTAATTTTCTGTGTGAGTATGATTGAGCACTTATCAATTTTTAATCTATTCTCCCATTGGTTGTAATACACAGACAATCAATAATTTATCCATACTTGATTAACACTGATAAATATATATGGATTTTTAACACACACACACATTTGGTTTCCTTGTATGCTTGCTTCGTGTACGCTTGCGGATTTTACCAATCTTTAACAATATACTATCTCTATAACTAGTGTTCACGCCTTTGAATAATCTCGAGTAAATCAATAATTCTACAAGGAGATTTAGCCTGCATTAAATACTCAGTTAACGGGATACTATTTATCGTAGTCAGATATAGGGAAAATTAGCCTCTACAAGCTAACCTTCTAACATTATAAAACCTATGACTTATTTGTTTTCACCTTCTCATTTACAGTATTCTTTTATTTAGATTAAATTTAATCTGCTTTTAAATATCAACACTTGTGACTATGAGAACCTTGCATTATTGTCAGTTTAACATGTTATGTTTTACATGTTATCCGCATTATTTGTCCTTCATTGCAAATAATTGATTTTAACTAGTTATCTATAATCTTTACTATTGAATGACTGACCTTTCAAAGATAAGGTGAGATATTTTATTAGGGATAGTTTACATTTCTACATAAACTGAGTCTTTGTTAAAGCAGATTTCCTATTTAACAATTATTAGAAAAGTGCTTGAAAAGTCTATCGTTACTCTTTTAGAATTGTTGGTGATTAGATTCAGTTATCCTTTCTAAACAGTATTTTCTTAGTCAATACAAGGTTCCATAATAGGGCGAAACGGTCATCCAGTGCTTCCAGGTTTTCCATGGTGGTCTAGCTTCAATTGACTCATGATCTCAACTATTGAAATTATTACAATCTCCACAAAACCTCTTCTGATACTAATACAAGGTTCCATATAATTTACCAATAAATGAGAATTAAAACTAGTTTAAAATTTATATGATCTAAATCACAATTCCATCAGCGATTAGTATTACTGCGGAGTTTATTTATAGAAAACATTCCAGCTGAGTTATCATTTGCTTAAATCACTTGCATTAAATAATGGGGGCACATTTATCGTTAAAATTTATGAGAAGTAAGTTGATTAATCATTCTGGTTCATTATCATAAAGATAAAGTTTATTTTTTAATTTTTTAATTTCCAGCTTCTTATAGTTGATCGTGACAGTCCTGAAGTTAATGGTCAAGTACACTGTGAAGAACCACATCACATGAAAGGTAAACAACCTATTGTTTTTGTGCAAGAATCCGTGTATTTACTTCCACGTCAGCAGTCAGCATCTCTATCACTAGAAGGACTAACACCTAATCTTAATACTAATAATAACAATAACTATCTACCGACAAGTTTATCTCCTTCTTCAAGTTCTGAAAACCATGTTTATCAACGTTTAACACTATATAGCCTCAGTGAATTCGATCGTGAAAATGGACCTGATAAATATAAATCAATTATATACTGTTGGGATGGAGTAACATCAACAACGTTTTCACAAACACCCTATGATTCTTCAGTATACATGGATAAATATGCACCATTAAATTATTCAAAATCTTCAACACTAGTATCATCTAGCCAGACAGCTACAATGACAATCACTTTACATATAGTAGATGCAAACGATAATGAGCCTACTTTTGAGGAACAATTCTATAAAGCAGAGATTAAAGAAAATTCACCGATAGGCACTAAAATTATCAAGGTTAGTTAGTTGTTAAGAGTAGTCTCTTGACTGATATATTTATAACATATAAATATTTATTTATTGATAGTACCTTGGTATTTTTTATTTGTAAGATCTGAATTATCAGTACAAGGTTTTGGAGATTGATGGCTTTTGATTCAGATCATGAATCGATCAATATTAAATCACCATTGAGAGCCAGTAGAGCTAATCTGTGTCGGGTGTGAGACAGTTACCCACCGATGACAATGAAGCATAGTTGCACAATATCGTGGATTGGTTGAAGTTAGAAATTAACACCGTTGGTAGCCAGCTCAGTGGTCTGGAGGTTAAGTGTTCACACACGAAACCGAAGGTCCTCGGTTTGTATCTCGCGTATGGAGACATGGATGCATACTGTTGTGGAGATCTGTATTAATTAACATTCTATCGACTCATTATATAATATGTCCGATGAAAAGCCATTTGTGTTTATTTCTTTTGTATTCCTATTATATAATAAGTTATTAGCATTATAAATGGATGTGGTAAATAGAATATAAACTAACATATATTAAAATATTTCGATATCTTATTTAGCTCAACTGAATGTGTTAATAATAAGATAAATCCAGTAAGGTAATTAACTAAACTGACCAGTAGTTTAGTATTAGATCGAATTAAAAATGATTCCATAATCATTGCCCCATTTAATACAAACGTGGATTAATAAAGGGCTAATTCCATAGAATCAAACATATTTGTACTAGCGATACTATTGAAGTAGAGACGAAGTTTTAGACTGAAGCATTAATGAATAACGGTTATTCGTTGAAGTTCATAAGCCGCTGGAAGCGTTGCAGTACGATCAAACCTATGACGCTCCTGGCACCCAAAAAGCGAGTTTACATTATGTTAGCATTGAGAGGCGACTCAAATAGTCTCATATTGAAACAGAGACTTAAATTAGCCATCAACAGGATATTTTACACAGCTCAGCTTGTTATTACTGAAAAGACAAGGTCTATGTTTCATCGAAAACACAAACGACACGTAAGCAATGGTGTCACATCCCATTGTGTCTGTCGATTTACTTATATGTGCGAAAAAACACGTACATAGGGAGGCGCAGTCGTGATCTGTAAGTAGGGGTGGAGGAGCGCATACCCAAATGACTGCAGAAACAAATGAATCCCAATGGTCAAATAAGATCACAGAACAGACAAATATCATCCTCCATCGCTAAACACTTGATTGAGACTGGTCATATTTATTTATTTGAACATACAAATATTGGTACAAACGGGCATATGCACCACACAAGTCACTCGATTTGTTCGTGGGCTGTGATATTGCCCGGGTGCTAAGACCGGAGCAGGTGGTTTTATTCGGGGACCGCACCCGGGGCCTTCGACTTAAAGGTCTGACCCAAAAGGCAGTGGAGCAACGTCAGGAGGTGTAGTCTCATGTTAGCCGGTGACCAAGAATAGGTTCGTACGTCATTTATTCTCTCAGGATCCTGGAGTTCATGTACAACATTGGTTTGGAATCAGATCCTCCATATCCACCAACCCACTTAAAGCGCCGGATATTCGCGTTTCGTAAAGGACACCTCTGCCGCCGTAATAATCTAACATATATATTTACTGTGAATACTTAGAAAGTACTAAGAATGGTAACCAAAGCACAATACATAGTTAATTTTATATTATTTCGTGAATCATGTGTTTAAGCTATTTACAATCTTAAACAAATCATGACAAAACTTTCTTGTAACAAAAGGGAGACAAACTAATGTTGTTTAATTAACAGTAGTGAATATGAATGTTAGAAGTGACAAGCGTTATCACTGAGTATTCTAGCATTGAATAAAAAGGTTATATGATCTAAATGACCTAGAAGCAGAAAACTACAAAATGGATTATTGATTATTTGCTGAAAACTATAAAGAATTTACGCAAATTTTATGTAATAGTTGTGTAAAACTTTCAAAATGGAACGAAAAAGTAATTTATGAATTGAATATGGTAATAACGAGTCAAAACTTTGAGCTCATTGACAAACAAGCAATTGTTTTCTTCTGAATGAAAAGCGTCGAGCTCAAAACATCTTTAAGCACTTCTTGAATCATTTCTATTTTTTTCTCGTCACCATTTGTTTTGCTTTATTTTTTTGCAAAAGATGCCTACGCTTCAGCAATTCAACTTCTTTAAAAACATGTATATTACTATAATCTTCCTGATAGCCACATGATAGCTAAGATTAAATTTTTGAATTTCATTCGAACTTTAATAGTTTAGATCATGAGTCAATCGAAGCTAGACCATCATGAAAACTCTGAAAGCATTGAACGGCCGTTTCATCCTTGTATGGGACTCCTCATCAGTGAGCATCCACGATCTCGCCTCGCTAGATTTGAAACTAGAACCTATCGGTCTCACGCGCGAATTCTTCAATTGACTCATAATCTCAACTATTATAATTACTAATAATATCCACAAAACCCCTTCTGATATTAATTCGAACTATTGATTTATTTAAGCTTAAACTGTCATCATTTTTTTACCCAATACCTAATACCACCGATTTCTTCTGAGTCCACATTAAAAGCTTTAATAATATCTCTACACCAGAATTCAGTAGTATCACAGGAAGTGATGATGAAGAATACATTTTCTATTTTGCCTATAATGAAATAATAAACGCAAATTAAACGGAAGTGAATAGATTATTAATTAATAGCATATTCTTTGTTGGTATATGTAAATGAATATACAAACATTAGGAAAGAAAAAAAAAACAAAGGCCTTAATAAAATATGATTACATTATTGAGAAAACAACCTGAATTAAACCATGCGAGAGAATAAATGAACACCCCCCCCCGAAAAAAAAATTGATTCATGGGGAATGTTTTTTTTCTTCATTTAACAAGCATACACATTTAACAAAAGAGTATGTTTTTGTATGTATGTATGTATATGTGTGTGTCTGTATAATAATTGTAATGCATATCATTCAACTCAATGTATACAAAACTATTGTACTTAAACATTAAAGAGGAAGAATGTATTTTTAATGAAATTCTATAATGAAAGTTATCATCATTGTTTGTTGGTAACCGTTTGTTTCACTTGTAATGAAAACTTTTTTAAAAAAGAAAAAAAAACGTCAGAAAATAGTTTAGTTTGTATATGGATTAAAATGGTACTGATTCTAAGAGTTGACTAGAGATGATTAGATTAGTTTTTCAGTTTTCTTTCATTAAGATTTAGTGGACTGATGTTTTGGTGTATTGTAATTGATGGCGGATAAATACAGTTTTCATGTATATGAATATTGATAAAGGTATTTATGTGACTGTTTAGATATTTTTGTGTATTTATATAGTCAAAATTATTCACCGTTGTTTAGATATCCATCAATTATTTACTGTCAGCTAAGGAAATTCATTTATGCAGAATATATGAAATGTGGCTAACAGGGGAACACAGAATGTATGTTTCGTCTTATTTGGGATTCGTCATCTTCATGTACATGCATACCAGAATTGATGTCCGCACTGATGAATTAAACCTAGTACCTTTTGCTTTAAGTAGCAATGCCTCTTACAATTAGTATTGATTCCAGTTGGTTAGAACTAAAGCATAACACAGAAGAGGTTTATTTTGACTCAAATTGACTCACTTTTTGTCAATGCGTCGATAGAGGAAAGTCAAACCATGTAATTTATATTGATTGACTAATTTATTCGATTTGTTATCAAGCTATGACTTGATGATTTTTTCTTTTGATACAAGATCTACGGATTATTCTCTAGAGTTTACATGCTTAATTAAAGAGTTTTTCTAGTATATTCGTGCTATTCGAAGTTTTGCTGAATAATTTACATCTACACAAACTATCTCGAGTGAAGAAAAATGAATGAGATTATAGTGCTATGTTAAGCCTACATAGTTTATTCTAGCTACCGAACAGGCCTATCTATTCATTCTACTTGAGTCACTCTTTTCGACCTTGTTAATTATTCGCTTATCAACCCTGACTTTTTATATGAGAGTATGTGTGTGCACTTGTTATCCTATTCATCACATGTCTGTAGCTTATATTTGTGTGACTATAAGTATAAATTCACGCTTAATTGAGTTGGCTTACGTGCCTTCTCCACTGCACGCCTTTTTGTTTTGCTTCGCTCTCTCTTCTTCGCTTCATTCGCTGAGATTCTCTGATTGTCTATTCCGATCAACGATTGTACAAAATAAATGTATTCAAAAATCTATTCTCGTATTTGACTTATTTAATTCCGTTATTCACCAATGCGATTTAAGTCGATAATTATATACGAGGATTAGTGACCTGTATATCTCAATAACAATCAGAAACGATCAAATTAGAGTCAGATATATGTTCACTAAAAGATAAATCGTATTCTACTTAAAAAAGTAAGAACATTTACACCTCAGGCAAGTGAATTTTAAAGAGTCAAACAATTAATTCATACATGAATCGCTATTATCCAAAAAAGCATCAACAACGATGGCACTGTAAGAGTATCTTGTTCTAATTGGAAATTACTTAACTAATAATACATAATTCACTGGTGTTCTTTTTACCTGTATCTTCTCATTGCTATTTAGGACTGCAATTAATCAATCTCTTGTTGACAATATATGTATCCTATGCGGATTGCCTCGATATAGCCTTAAGTCATAAGCTTTTTAAGCAAAGATTGATAGGAATTTAACAATATAACTTCGATTAGCTAAGGTTTCTAAGTTTGAATGTCAATAAGAACATTATGATTGACTTCATTGATGACAAATTAATCTAACATACATGATTGATAAGTTTCATAAACATTCATATAAATACACTTGGTATTTTTGTTTGTATCTTCCCATTGAGGTTTAAGACTGCAATTGATCACCCATTGCACAAGCAAGTAGCTATCAGAACTCAGTAGCTGGGTGGATAAAGCGATGGCATTTGAAGCGAATGGTACTGCGTTCTAATCCCAGAGTGAACACCAACTCTGAGATGCAGGTACATTCAGCTGACCAGTCCCAACTAGGACGAAACGCGCGTCCTGGATTCCACTGCTAGTCACTATCCATCTTTATTCATATAAATAGTATGGAAATGTTTTGGTAATTTAAATTTTTTTAGGTTAATGATTTAATTATGAAACTTTCCGCTTCATTCTGGACAATATCATTAGGGTAAATAAAACTATGAAGAAGTGGCTTATAGTATATCATTACAAGTCAACACAAATTCGATCACAACAATTTCAGATCTCATTGAATGAATATTTCATTATTAAACATAATAATTTGAAATAGATCCAATATAATTGGTAGTTGTTTTGTCTTGTTAATGGAATGCTTGTTTTTTTGGGGGGAGGAGTTGTTTTACAGAAGTACTTACAATCAAATTTTCTTTTGTAACAAAAATAATGACACGGTTTATTTTTATAATGAAACTAACCAAAAATTAATAATAATATCTGAGTCATTAATGTTCATCCTGACATAATGTTCTATTACTAGTCAAAGTAACTAAATGATTCATTTTAATGATCATACTTTCTTAAAATGAAGCCTTTTACTGATCTAATCATCATATCAACTTTTGTTACAAGGGCAATTATTCTTAGTCTAAGGAAACAAAATAAGGAGAAAGAGAGAGAGAGGGAGGGAGAGATAAAGGGAAAGAAAGAATTTAACAAAACTTTAATTATATACATGTAACAAAAAAAATGATAAAAACTTATGACTCATTAAATAAATTCAACTGAAATGTTTCATAAATTCATGAGGAAAATTTTTTATTATGTTTGCATTTGTAAAAATTAAGGTTACTGTCCTCCCCCCGAAAAGTCGGTAACATGAAAATGGTCTTGTAATTGTATTCCAACACGAGACAATGGGTTTTAGGCGTTCTTTAAGCATTAACACTTTAAGCTGAGCTATTCCATTTACTATCCTATGTGTTATATGTAGTATAAACTATATTGCTATGTAGTGCTGAAGGTTTCATATGAGACTAGAGGTTCGCCATTGGTATTTTGGATGGATCGGCATTACTTTGACAAATTTTGTTGACTGTTCGTAAGCGAAATTGGTTTGCTGATTAACCAATTTCATTCATACTAGTGGTTGCTTTGCGGTGTTCTCAAGTCTCATTATCATTGGGACATTGTAAGGCATATCATCATTGCTAACGCTAATGAGTTTGACTGTCGTGTAAACGGAATAGGTCAACTTTGGCCTGTTCATGTTGTGAACAATTGATTTACAAGATCAATAATCAGAATAATTATACGTATTATGTATGTGTGCATATGAATGGTGCGAATGGTCCACCAGGGTGCTGGGTACTTGTGTGGTTGCACCACAGGACTGTGCAGTACTAATCAGATTGTAACGTTAAAAAGCATATATGATGTCTGCTTCTCCTGTGGAGCAGACATGAGTTGTACTGCTCAGGTTAAGCCTGAGCGGTGTCTGACTCTCCTGTTAAATGAAATTGAACTGTACTATTTGGGTTATCTCATGAAAATCTGGATGGTGTCAGGTTCTCTTGAAAATCATAGTAAAATTACCCTAGCCCATAAGGGTATATTATATAAGTGAATTTGTAAGTTATTTTAGAAAGGAAAACTATTTGAGTGATAAATATCTAATATCTATCAAGACATTTCTTAATAAGTAAGCTAAAATAGTAATAAATTATGATCAAAAATATTAGATCTTCATTCGAATAATATGTATTTGATTTTTATATAATATTACCTTTTATTTCATACATGACCTTGGTTAGCTAAGGCTTCTAAGTTCGAATACCAATGAGAACATTATAACTAACTTAATCGATGACAAATTAAAATAACTTCAACCAATCCACGAAATTGTATGACCATCTTCCATTTCACTGAGGTACGGATTAGCTCCACTGGTCAAGGCTTCTTATTAGAACTCCGAGAATTCTCTCACGAAACTAGTCACTAGTGAACACATGGTAACTTAACTTTCTACCCAATGCTCAATTTATTTGAAATTATCAATTCCAACCTTGAGATTGGTACCGGCCCAGTGGTCTAGTGGTTAAGTGCTCACGCGCGAAACCAGTAGGTCCTGGGTTCAAGCTCCGCGTGGTGCGGGATCTTGGATACGTACTGCTGAGGAGTCCCATACTAGGACGAAACGGTCTCCCAGTGCTTCCATGTTTTCCATGGTTGTCTAGCTCCAATTGACTCATGATTTCAACCAGTGACATACAAATATTATCAAGATTCATTTTTATGTGAGTCATGTAAGTTATATTATTCAGCATAAATAAATGACAATTAAAGTGTGAAATATCGTTTTTGAAAGATCAAATTACTTCATTTATATAATTTATACATTTTACTAATAAAAAATTAATCAATACAGACAAAGTCCGTTTCCAAACTGAATCATTATTTATTATCCTAAATGGCTAAATATTAATAATTTAGACAGGAATACTGATAGGAATAGCCGATAACATATTTGTCCTTAATGTTCTAATCATAAATTTGTAACCATTGAGTATGTTTAGATTGATTTAATCCAGAATTTAATTCATCAATTTTAATAATACTAATAATGACCTCATGTTAGAGTTGTGTTTTCAAAATATAGAAGAAAAAAAAAGAAAAAGAGAAAAAGAGAGAAAGAAAGAAAAAAGAAGAAAAGAAATAAGAGAAAAACCCCAGTCACATTTCATTCTAACTTCATTCTAATTGATTTTAATCAAAGTTGAATATTAAGTGGTTGCTTATTTATTTTGTTTGTTTTTCTTTTTTTGGAGTAAAATGTTTGTAAAAAAAAATTTATTTACCTTAGTTTATGTATAAAACAAAATAAGCGATTGATTAATCGGCTCTTTTTTTTATTAATGAATTCATTTGTTAGTTGTTGTGTTTTTTTTATTTTTTTGTTTTTTTTATGTGACCTAAGCCATGAATCACCTAAGTTTCTGTGACATTCAGGTTAGACTATTAAAAACACCTTATCACAATTTATTCCTAGTTTATTATTAAAATAATTCCAGATTGTGACAAGAATGAAACAGAATCGATGGATTGTGATTAGTTGAAGGATTTAAGATTAGAGTTTCATCATATATTGAATGTGTCAATGAAACTTATTGAGTTTCAACTCAGTTGTGTACATCAAGGCTGGAATGTAACTATATGCTGTTGATAAGTTATAAATGTGCGTTATTAATCTCATTGTTAATCATATTCATCTATTTTGAAAACCTGTGAAAAAATGGTAATATTGGAATAATTCACTCAGGATACATATGTTAGCTAAAACTTATCAGAATTTAGTTTTGGATATTAGTAACATGATAATTCAAATGTTTTCTAATAACAATCTTTATTATTTGAATGGATTGAAAGGAAGTTAGTTTTGATTGTCAACTGATATAAACTGAAGTGATATTGATAATCAATTTCGTTTTAGGTTAAGACTCTTTAACGACTTCATACGGTATCGAACTAGAGATCGTTGGATTAAGTATTGATCATAATTTAAGATAAGTAAACAGAAAGTTTCTGTGTTAAATCAGATCAGTGTTTGTCAAATATTTAAATGGTACTGTCTATAATCTCTTATTTATGAACACGAAGTCCCAGTGATCCTAATCGAATCTTAAACTGCTGTGTTATTTTTTAGAGATAACACCCCACGTAACGATGTTTGACTATCGTTTTAAAACTCATTTTTGACGATCAAACTTTGTAAATTAAGAGTTAAGAAAGTTTTTAGGTAAAGCTAATATATTGTTGACCACGTTGGATGGTTTGGGATAGTCTACAGAAATCCTTAGACCTATAAAATCTAATAAATAACGGATCAAAACGTAGTTTAGCGTTAGATAAACTGAATTTACTTGTAATGGTATAATAATTTACAAGTAACCTCAAACGTCATTATCTAAATAATAAATAAGTGACAAATCGTAAGTGAATAAATGAATCTAGAAGATCAATTTGAAAAATGTCTAATTTAGATACCTTGGATCAGTCGACCAAGCTCTCAGTGTATAGAATTTGGTCACATTAATAAAATGGTGACGAGTGTGGTTTCAAACTTTTTTTACAATTGAACGTAATGGTTTGATTGTGTGAATACGTGCAAGAAATAGCATTCCTTCAAGTTTCATTATATTCTGTTTTATGTTTTTGCATGTATATTTTACCAAGTACTTCATCTGGTTAAGGGTATTAACTAAACCACACTTAGCTTTCTTTAAACGCCCTACATATCAGTTTTCACACATTGATGCTGTCAAGAGGAAAAATGACTCAAGTATGAGCAAGTATTTGCACTCTTTAGCAATTTACTATTGCTCTATAAAATAAATCTTTGTCAGTATTATGTTTTAATTACAGTTATGAGCTAACTTCATGTCATTTTCTACTTCATTTTGTTTTTTTCTTTCGGATTAACTAATATGTCTCGAATCGTACAAATCCACTTTTTGACTTTAAACATCTAACTATACAGCTGATAAGTACTTTCATCAAATACTACCATTATTTAGAGATAACTAACATTTCGATCGATTTATGTTTATCGTAATACCATTTCTGGTTAGGGATTTGTTATTTTTTCCCACTCTCTCTCTTTCTCTGTCGTTCTCTCTTCTTCTTAACTTAAACAATCTCATAGGAATTCTTAGAAGGAAAACAATATACATTTTGTTATCAGTTTCTTTTTCATTCGTTTAATTCGTATTTTTTTTCTTTACCTTTAAGACAATTCATTTTACTTTAGTTGAAATCATTGTTCTTTTGTTATCAGATGCATGCAGTTGACAAAGATATTGGAGTAAATGCACAAATATACTACAGTTTAGAAGAGAATGAATTGTTTGTACCGTATTTTAAAATTGATCCAATTATGGGTTGGATTGTAAATTCAGCGGAACTTGATCGTGAAGCACAAGTAACATTTCAGGTAAATTATAAATAAATAAATTATTAACCTTATTAAATTTTCAGCAATCTATATCATAAGGCATTAAACAGTTGTCACAGTCCCTGTTTATAACTTCTCAGAAGGATCTAAATTTAAAATGGTATTGACTAAATTGAATTTAGAAAGAGTAGATATTAATATTGATCTTCTTAGTGCTAAACAAATAGTTTTTTTTTAATTATATCATTTGTAATTCACTATTCTAGAAAGTTTTGTTATCTTCCTATACATTTCCGTCGTGTTAGGTAACTGAACTTGGTCGATAAGGAGCCCTAAACATAAGTTTCATGCTAGTTGACACTTGTGAGAAAGGCCCACATGCAGCCTTGAGGAAAATGGCACTCCATGTAGGATTTGAATCACGGTTATCCAGCCTTATAATCAGAGGTGGTATCACTGAGTTATTCGGGGTTGACCGAACACTGAGTAATGAACAATGTCGTGTTTGTTTAGTTTTTACTGCTACTGAGGTTTCCATCGATCAACTAGAAATTTGGTCGCTAATCTAGTTAAATTCACGTATCATTATGTTATTCACGAAATTGGCAATATATTCAAATCTGTAAAGTTGAGAACTCTCATGATCATAGTATGTCAGTCTGTGTTGAAAATCACCTATGTTTGAATTTTCGACATCCATGTCGACTTTCTTAGTTTTGCTGAACATACCTTAGCTGAAGGAACGAGTGGGCACGCCTTGTTATGCATCTCTTGCAATAATTAGTCAACTTAAATCATTTACTTCTTGACACAATGACTAACATCCAAATATTACTTCGAGCTTCTTCATTCGCGACCTTTGGTTTGACTGAGTCCTCAATTATAAAGAGTTTAAAGACAACAATGTTGTCAAACGAAACTCACTGACATTTATATTAGAAGAAAAAAAAATTCAATCAAATAAATTAGGATTATTCATGATTGGCCATTTTATAAACACGAGATATTCTCTCTTATTTGACATTTGAACCACTGGTAGACAGTTAATGTTTGTGCTTTGATCTGACAAAATACTTTGTAAACGTAATACACCCATTAAGACGTTAAATAAGAAAGGTTAGTTCAACGAAGAGTTCCCTTTTCAGCAAATTCATTTTCAAAGCTGTACAACCGTAAATATAGATACTTATTTTTACAGGATGATAATAATACTGATAATAAACTTCTGTTAGACATGGTGACAGTGAGGTTAAATAAACAAAGGTATTTAATCCTTTTTAAAACAAGGAAAGTTTAATAATCGTTTGATTGTTAATGGCTTAACTATTCATCAAAAGATAGATAGATAGGGAAATTGTCGTTGGGAAAGGATGGCTCAGCATGATAAGATAAAATGTTGAAATTGAGATTAGATGTAATCAGAATGATCCTGGAAACAAAATTAAAAGGAGTTGGGGTGGTAGAGGATTGAATAGGAAGATGGAAGGTGTTGCAGATGGCTGTAAAGGAAGAAGAGTATGAAAAAGAGAAAAAAGACCTTTATTATACCGAATATATAATATTGAATAAAGCCATTAATAACAATTATGGTAACAATCATTCTATATAAAAATGTATATGTATTGCATATTTACAAGCTGAGTTTGATACTTTGCATACTTGAAAGATTGATTTCCTAGTCCCCAACATTCTTTCAATCTTGAATTTAAAACAGAAAACAAAAGGTCGAAAATATCGAAAAAACTTTACTTAGAAGGTCAAATTACATAAAGAAACACAAAGATTTTTGTAGAGCTTTGGTTGACCTTGAAATCACAGAAGATCCGAAAATAGGTGAAAATTTTGATTAAAAACTCAATAACTATTTCGTTTAGAAGAACGAAAATATTATTAGTTGTTTTCATAAAGAATTAATTGGTCAAAGTGTTTTTAATAGGACTTTAGCTTCTAGATGGTTTTTCAAAGAATTAACAAAAACTCTTAACATTATAAAAACACAATCTGAAACGTTATTAGGGCTAAAATCATTGAAATTACCTAACTTCGTTGACTTGTACCAAATATTCTGTGATCGTAAGCTTACCTATCATTTCAAACTAGAGTTCACCGAGGAAATGTTTGCACAATTAAGATGTTGATCGGAAACCATGGAAATAAGTTTCGTTCTGCTTAGCACTTGTTTGCATGGTATACCTGTAATCTTGAGGAAACTGGTGCTCCCTGACGGTTTGATTCCGTATCACCCAGCTTCAAAGTCAGAGGCGTCACCACTGAACTAGTATGGCCGCGGCTGACTTCCTGTAGGAATGAGATGCATTTACAATTGATTGACTTGATCGATAGGATTCAATTTGTACTAAGAAGTAACTGGCATACATGACATTGATCACCAACATGTGATCAATCAACTGTTTGTACAATTTCTTAGTACACTCTACCTTCTATCAATAGTTTGAGATTAAAGAACTTATTAGAAATTTGTTGAAATATTTCAATTTTCTTCATTTCTAAATAAAATTAGTGTAATGAATCATTGGGGGGAAAAGCATAGTAATCAATTAATGCCAATAATCGGCAATCTTTGTTTTTTTTTTTTTTACATTGTCATCATCAATCCACACACTTACACAAACATACACATGTAAACAATCACTTACCTACGTCCAACAGTTGATCAGATATTTAATAAATTTTTTCTAATGAATAAAACAACTGTCATTCATACATCACTATTACCGATAGTAGGAGATAATTCTTTATAAAACGAAAAATAATAATGTAAAGTTATTCTAAACAAAAACAATAATATGGGAAATAAACAATGAAATACTGAGAGAACATAAGAGGAAAACTAATTAAAGAGATAAATAAAATAAAAAACAAACAAAAAAAAACGGTAAACAAACAAAAAATAAACAACAATGATGCAGTCCAGTTGATTAGTTTCTTTTAAACTGACGTTAAATTAATATATCGGAACGTTCAATTGTTAATTAATTTTTGTATTCCATATGTTATATTATAGTAAATATCCGAGAGTGGATAGCACTGAACGGTATATTAATTGACTGAGTAATATAAGTCATACTAATTTGTTTGGTTCGTATTCCAAAACTGTTTTTCTTTCATATAGTCTAGATATATGTTGGTATTATGTCAGGTAGATATAAAATAGACAAATGAATAAAACTACTTTACTACACTGATTCATTACTTATTGTTACTCCTAATGGAGCATAGGCCGTCGACCTGTATTGTCCAACCCGCTCTGTCCTGGGCCTTCCTCTCTAGTTCTATCCAATTGTTGTTCATTCTTCTCATATCTGTTTTCATTTCTCGGTGTAATGTGTTCTTTGGTCTTCCTCTTCTCCTTTAACCCTGAGGATTCGATGTGAGGGCTTGCCTTATGACACAGTTTGGTGCTTTCTTCAATGTGGAGCCCCTCTGGGGCTACTGCCGGTTCAAAGCCCGGATAAACGAGGAGAGTTGGACATGGGGTTAGCGACCCCATCCCGTAGAAAACTAACTCCCTAAAAAACGCTAACACACTGATTCATAACTGACTAAAATCCAAGATTTACTGTGCCTGATACATAGTAATGAATGAATTAAATCTATTGAGTTTTTGATGTGACCTGTATACCAAAACACTATTATTTGAAATCAAATAATCCAAGATAATCTACGTGAATCTCTGGATCTATATTTCGTTCTGACAGATGTTCATTAAAAAAATTATTTGCAATCCTCAAGAAATTAACTTAACTCTCTTAATGTTTCATTATATTATATTATTATTAGAAAGGCGTTTTGTGGATATTATAGTAATTTCAATAGTTGAATTCATGAGTCAGTTGAAGCTAGACCATCATGGAATACCTGGAAGCACTGGAAGACCGTTTCTTTATAGTATGGGTCTCCTCATCAGTGCGCATCCACGACCCCACTCCATGAGATTCGAACCCAAGACCTATTATATTATAAATATTCATCATTTAAATGTGTTATTTCATGTTACAGGATATGATCTTTTTTAAACTTGAAATATAATCACAAAGAATTGATTGACTTTACTGACCTAATTTTTAATATAGAAATTAGGATTTTAGTATTGTTTTTTGTCAAATTACAAAAATAAACATGATGAGGACAAAGGGAACTCACTTCATTTCGTACCCTTTAAAACCATCCACACATACGCACTAATTTGTATAAATAAATAAACAAATAAAGTGGTTGATAAATGTGATTTTTCGTTCAACATGAAGAATATCGTTTAGTTCACTGATGGTCATTGTAACTAGTTCTATCATTCATTTTTTAATGTTTCGATGAAATAGGTTACCCCTTATCAATGTAGGCATTCAGCTACTTTCGTCTTCATATATTCTCATTAGCCATTATTATCATTGGTTAGTAATATCATTAGCATCATGATTGACTCATTATTCCTTCTTTGATAATTACTATCATTTCTGTCATTTTGCCTGCCATAATCATAATAACCTACATATATATTTGTTATATTCCATTACGTCATATTCCTTCACTCTTTCAATCAGTTCATCTATAAATGGAACTTATATGAATATAGGAATTGCTTATAATTATTTTTCACTTGTGAACTAAACGATTTTCTGCATATTGAACGGAAAATTACATTTATCAGACATTCTATTTATTGATACAAATCAGTCAGTCAGCTACACCCTAGGACCAAGCATCGGTCCAAGTTGCCACACATTAGCACAACAAGATGAACACCGAATTCATAAAAGTAGTTACTTCAATGGTGATAATATATAAAAGAAAGTGTGTATAAGAATATAGTACAGGAAGGAAGAATTAGTTCATAGAAAGAAAAATATAAAACAGTACAAATCAGTGTGTGTACGTGAAAACTTAGAGGTTTCGGAATGAAATGACTTCATCTTTACAATATTTGTCCTTCTGGCTTAATAAAGGTTTATTAAAAGAAATAACTGAATGAATTGTTTCCCTTTTTTCACACTTTCATACCAAATATTTCGACGAGAATA